GTGACAAACTGTTTCGTCGGAGTTATATATATATATTTGACGACAAATATATATATATATATATATCGTCAAATAGAACTGCCCGGTAAACCGTAGGCAGAGAGGGAGAAGAGGACAACAAACGAGGGGCTGTGACGAACTGTTTCGTCGGAGTTTCACCGACTCATCAGTGTCACATAACTATTGACTAAGCGTGTAAGCACGAGAAGTAGAAGAAGAAACAAGATGAGCGAAGAAAAGAAAAATGAAAGAACAGACAGGCATAGAGATAGACAAACTAGAAAGAAACGAAAGTGTCTTTTGTTTTTTTTTAAGAATTAGCTTGCTGTATTATATTTGGAGCAAAAGGAAGCCGGGAATCCCTCCACATCTCAACCCGGAAGATTGGGGCCATTACCCAGATTTGGCTCTTACTGGAAACAGGGTCCAGTGTCCCTTTCTTCTATGAAACTTCATGCTATTCCAGAACAAAGTCTAAAACAGTGTCCTCTTATTCTTTGTTTCACTGTATTCTTATTTCTTTAAGTGTTTTACAAAGAAAAAAAAATTACACCGAAGAGTGAACAAAGCATAAAAATAAAAAACAAAGACACATTGAAATCATTCAGTTTCTCGGTCTTCTCAACGCCTCCTCCACCGTGCCTCTAACGTACAAGGCTCACCACGTTGATGAAGTTGAGCGCCAGCTGCCGCCATCCCCGTATGCCGTAACAGCCCACTTGCACTTTATGGGAAAGAGGCAGAGTGAAGGAAGAGGTGTTAAGCAAAAGGTAGAGAGAAGCAGAAAAGGAAAACCGGTAGGCAGAGGGAGAAAAAATAAGAAAGGTGACACAAACATCTTTCTTTAACTGCATTCTTCTTTCTTTCACAATTTTGCAGTTTTGTTGAAGAGTCTACCACGTTCGCTTTTTAGCGCACCCTGCACTTCCTTCTTCATTTTTCATTCTCATTTTCACCCTTCGGACTTTTCCTTTGAGGGTGTTAGGGTGCAGGGTAAAAACAAAGTAAAATGACACAAACTTATGTTCTTCTTTTACTGCATTCTTCACTGTTTTGCAGTTTTAGTGAAGGGTTTCCCACCTTTGCACATTCTTGTCACTCTTTTCAGCGCATTTGCACATTTTTATCAGGGTGCAAGGTACGTCTAAGTAAGACCCTCATGACAGATAGGACAACTGTCATAAGGATGTGGGCGATGGTAGCAGCCCTCCCGCTGATCTACAGGACGAAAACCATTATATAAGGAAAAAGTTCAAATAACCATCATGTAATGTCTTTGGCATAACAGCAAGGGATCCCAATGTGCAGCCCCCCACGAAGGCATACTTCAGCTGTGACACAGGCACAAACTTGGGACCAGGTCTATGCTAAAGGGACCAGGTTCATCAAATTTGTGACTGGGTTTATCCAAGAGGGACCAGATTCATGGGCAAGGAGGCCTATCCAATGGGGCCAGGTTCATAAGACTCATGCAAATAGTCTATCTAGCATCTAGCATACTATTACAGCCAGCTAGAGGGACCACGTGTCAGATCTTTCCATCCGTATATATACTCAAAATGCCTAATCCATTCATAAAGTCCAGAAGTCAGCACGTGGCTCTCTCAAAAAATGATATGCAAGACCTTTCTCGCCGAAATTCTCAGCCTTTGGCTAAGATCAAGTGTAGTATCTGTCCTGATCAGTTTAATATCTGATCCATGGTCCATCAGGTCACATTTTTAAACAATAAAAAGAAGAATTTGGAAAAGAAATAAATTAAAATCATAAAAAATGATATGCTTATGATTATGAGGTTATGGTAGTCTAAGGTATTTTTACCTGTCGGCCACGCAGTGGGAGTGCCCTCACATTGGTTGATGTGAATACGCTGCCCATGAGCCGCAAAACATCCTCCATCATCAATTGACCGAATTCCTTCTTTCTCTGCAGCAGTCCGCAAACGCCAACCATAGCCTCTGACCTGGCGGCCTTATCTGCCTGTTGCATGCCACAGCGGCACAAAACACCACACCACCGATCATCGAGAGGAAGGCTGGAGCTAAGCAAGATGGTCAGTCATTCCTCTTTTCTTGACCACACGGTTTGCAGGGGAAGGGCCAAGGGAAACAGGGAGACGAGGAGGACAACAGCATGGAAGGTGAGGCTGGGGAGGCCATGATGGAGGAGGGAGGGGGGGCAGAGGTGCCTCTCTTCTCAATTCACTGTAACAGAAGGCAGAAGATCTGCTGTAGTCACAACCAACAAGCTGAGGCATCAAAAAAAAAGTAGGAAGTCTTGCTTGAACCCCCCTTTTGAACCCGTGTCCAGCTCGAACCCCTCTGGTGCAGGGTTTAAAGAAACAAGGGCCCAAACGATGTCACAGATCGAGGGTTGAAACAAAACAACGGCCCAAAGGTTCTCTCTTGGGCCCATAGGATGCCCCATGCCCCATGCCCAAAGGTGCTACTACCTGGCACAAACACTCTCCTCCCAGCTCAACCACCTTCCTCACCTTAATCTTCTGAAAAGTCATAAGCAGGCATGCAACTGAAAGGATTTCACGTCTCAGTCATGTCTTGAGTCCCAGTCCCAGAGTTCCAATGGTTCCAGTCCCCGTGTACAAGAGCCGAAACGGAAGGCCCAGCAGGCGAAATGCCGATTCGTGTTTGGTAGTTTGTTAGAAGTCTTCGGTTGTTAGAAGTCTGGTGGGCCCGATACCTGACAGAAAGTCTGAAGTCTTGGTCCAATTTTGGCAGCAGCATCCAAGGAAGGCCTAGGAATCCCACAACCTGGCAATTGCGGCCGATACGCCAGGAGACCGTTACTGGCTTGTAGCCGACAAAGATTGTCCATCAGGCCACTACCTAAGCGGCTGCAGGGCGTGGTCGACACACTTGTTCATTCGCATGTAGCAGAAGTGCTATTGTACACTTGTGCGACTGTCAAGGTGACTGGCCGGGCATACTGAAGGAGAAGTCAGCGCTAGGGCACCACAGCTAGGACTATTGAAGGGGGACGAAGACACAATAGCCACTAGGGTCAAGGGTCAAGTGCGTTCAGAGAGTAAGAGTGAGCGATTCAAGTAAGAGAGAGAAGAGGGAGATAGTGAGGCAGAGAGCAAGAGTGACTGAGTGCATACATGAGACAGAGAGCAAGCTTGGGCGGCCATAGTCGCATGAACTCTGAGTTTGTGGACTTGCAACAACTGTGTATTTTGGAATAATATCTTCAAGTTTCAGCTGACGTCTATCTCGTGCTTTGCTGTTTGAGTGTTATGTGGACTTCAGAGACTTGCATGATAGCGATTGGAAGTCTGAACTAAGTCGGATCATTGCACTCGAAACATGCTCTTGCTGCATCGGTGTCGTAGCAGGAGTAGCATGCCAGCACTGATCAAAGCCAGCGGGTGAATTGAGTTGACAGCAGTTGGGGGAAGACTTGGAAGGCCGAAAAATAAGAGACCGAGGGAGAACGAAGGCCAGAGACAGAGAATACTCACCTGAAGGTTCATCGAGCAGCATCTGGCATCTTCAAATGGAAGGATATCCCAATTGTAGACCCTATGCCTGTCAGGTTGACTCCCCCGGAGGCAAGCTACGTGAGGTGTACTACAGTCTTCGCCTGAAAATAACGCCCAGGCTTTGTATACGAATATAACCCCGCCGGGCGTTATATTCAGTAAATTGGTGGCAACTTCGGTGGGGGCCAAAAATTCCGGGAAAACAAAATATTCAAAAAATTCTGTGAAAAAAAACATGTCCAGAATTGCAATGCGACCAACTTTTGGCTGAGGGTCACTTCAGAATCCCTTATACATGCGGAAACAAAAAATCAAGCCAAAATATACCCCTTGGAAGTCAAAACCCCTTTAAAAGTTTAAAACCCATGTATACCCCCCTCCCCGTCCTTGAAAACCCATGTATACTACCTCTACAAGGCACTCTGCCCATGGGACATTCAAATATAACGTGCAGGTGTTCTATTCGAATGCCCGGACGTTATACTTGAAGGGGCGTTCTATTTGGAAAAGAGTAAGGAAAAACGAAAAACTGATCTTTTTAGGGTTCTATTTGGAAAAGAGTGAGGAAAAACGAAAAACTGATCTTTTTAGGGTAAGTTGAATATAACGCCCAGGCCAGTGTTGCACACCCCAACCGTCAGCGACCCTTGACTGGTCGGCTGCCGACCCGCCGACCGGTCAGCTGGTCGGCACCTACTGGTCGGGGGTCGTCGGCACCCCACAAAAAAAAAAAAAAAAAAAAAAAATTGGACTCAGTGAGAGATGAGTCTATATTTCGAGAGGGAGTTGGCCCTGTCATCAAGCCACGCCGTCCTGTCTGAGGCGTTAAATCATTGAGAGCCACCATGGACAAACTGCTCCAGGTGAAGGACCTTGGAATCACCCCTGCGCAGATCTGATATCACTTCGCATTTTCCGTGCCTTATACCCTGAGGTCCCATCTATATGCCAGGTGCCAAGAACCAGGACAAAAGGCTTTAGTAAGAATACCTTAGAACATGCCGGTTTCTTGCAGCAAGCAAACTTCCATTTCTACAAGGATTTAGAGAAGGGAAAGAGGTGGGAGGGTGTAGTAGCCTGCAAGGAGGACGGCCTGTTAGTCACCTCCGAGGGCGGTGGCGTAGAGGAACTGCCCTACAAACAGATAGATTACGGAACGAAGGAGGACAGTCAAGTAGTTCAAGGAGGGGATTATGCGGGTGTAGTGGCCTGCAAGGGCGGGGAGGAGGCCATGGTCATACAGGCCGTTGCCGGGGTAGAGGAGGACAAGGCCCTACAGCCCAGCGGAATTGTTAGGATCCCGACCAATTTCGAAGTGCAAATTTACGAGAAAGCACAATGTCGTCCAATTGCAAAAGAAATGAATGAACTTGCTAGGAGAGAGAGGGAAAGAAGAAGACGAAGAAAAAGAAAAGTAGATGTGCACCAGCAAAAGACCAATGATAATTCCTCATTCTTCTCGCCAACCAACTCCTCCTTGTTTCCTCCTCTCTTATTCAAACAATAAATAACAATAATAATGATGAATGGCTGAACCAGAATCAATGTCTGAATCCCTCTTCTACTGCCAGCACAACAAGAGGTCCACCATAGCCATGGCCGCCCTCCTCTCTCTTCTTCATCCAGGCCGAGGCTATGGCGCACTACGAAGGGCCTTGCCCTGACGTGCAAAAGACAACGCAAAACAGCTATGGCCTCTTCCTCTCAGGCCGCCATGCCTGACTCTGCCTCGAAGCTTCTTGATGCATCTCCACCCCAACGGGGGCCTCCCAGATGCAGCGCCCACCAAGATGATGAAGATGACGTCCACCATAGCCAGGCAAGTACCCCTGGTGTTCCCCCTCTCCTAGTCCCCTTCTTCCTCCTCCTCCTACCCGAGATCCTCCACCACAGCCAAGGCGGAGAGTTGGGCGCTCCTCTTCCCCACGGCACTGCTCTACACTAGCGCTGCTTCATCCAGTGCTCCAGCAGCGTGATCGCAAAGCCGCACACAGCAAATAAGGAGGACATCTTTGCTTCTTGGGTGGTGACTTCCAGGCCTCTTGGGCGATGACTTCCACGCCGTGCAGCCTCCAAGCAACGGGTACCTCCTCGCTTTTGGGGGAAACATCATTGCAGACTCTGATATCGTTCTTACAGGGCCTAGACTCAGGCTACTTGGACTGGTACCCGCCTAGACCTAGCCTACCGCTACTGGGGCTCTAAAAATACTAACTTTTTTCTTTTTCTGCTCAGCGTCTGTTTCCCGACACATCTACTGCTACTTGAGTGGTACTGGCCGACTTGCTACTCAAGTACCTACACTTGAGTGGTACTGGCCTACTTGCTACTCAAGTACTTACAGCCTACACTATTGCGACTCGAGCATGCCCTAAGCTACCCCTTCCGCCACTTGAATGTTTTTCCCCAATGCAACCCCAAAGTCACAGCCACAGGTAAGTACCGGCCCTTCAGGCCCCCCAAACAAACAAGAGCCCTGGCAGGCCACACACACTCAGGCCGACAAGCACTCAGACAGGCATGCAAAGCAGCAAGCACCTACACACACAGACTTCGAAAACTAAGCAAAAAGCGAGAATCTCAGCAAGGCATTCATTCCAGCGGCAGAACTCAGAAATCAGTTGTGTTCTCAGTTCATGTTTTGGCAGGTCTTTACAGAATAGAAGCTCTAATGGCTTCCAAGCGGGATGAGGGGTTACGGTTCCCCACAAAGTGGCAGCAACACCTTCTACTCACCTAGGTAGTTGCCTAAAGACTGCTTCTGTTAGGGTCTCTCTAGGTGGATCCTTGCAGGAAATAGTGATGAACTGATCACTCGTCGCCGAGCCTGGGCCAAAATGAAGAAATGAGAATGAGGGCAACTAACTTTGGCAGACGTAGAAGTAAGTAGGTGTGTTAGTTGACAGCGGATCAACTAGGAGTTATATTAGTAAAAAAGGGATTAACAAATTGCATCTTGCCTTGGTATGAAAGTGCAGAAGTTGGAAAAGTCGGTAGTGTCAACACTGGCAGATAATAGAGAGAGTGTAGGTAAGTAAGTTGAGGGCATCAAGGCATACTTCCGGTTGGAAGGAGGGGGGAAGGTAGAAAAGGTGCTGCATTCCCCAACTCTTTAAGTGGAAGACAACCTACCCCTTGACATTTCGCTAGCAACAGACTGGGGAGAAACGATGAACGTGGACGTTTGATTGGGCAAGCGTGAGTGCTGGCTACCCAGCGGCGAAGGTGGCAAGAAGACTGAAGTCCACCTTGTCCCTATGTTGCATGAGTGCACCTGCAATCGCTAGACATGTAATGAAGAAAAAATTGGTGAACCAAATGTTTGTGGCCTATGTGAAGCCGGTGAGCGAAGGTAAGGCCGAAGAGGAAGAGATCCTACCCCCAATCTATTGTTGCCGGAAGAGTATGCAGATGTAGAGGAGGCACCTCGTGGAGTAGTGGAAAGAAAGCTTGAGCATCAGATTGAGACCAAGGCCAG